AGAGAAATACGGCAGAGATCAGCCGTCGCTGCCGACTTGGGGGAGAGGGAGATGGTCTGTCTCTTATACACATCTAGATGTGTATAAGAGACAGGTGAGTGGTCAGAATGCGTGGAAGTGAGTGGTCAGAATGTGTGGGAAGTGAGTGGTCAGAATGCGTGGAAGTGAGTGGTCAGAATGTGTGGGAAGTGAGTGGTCAGAATGCGTGGAAGTGAGTGGTCAGAATGCGTGGCGAGTGAGTGGTCAGAATGTGTGGCGAGTGAGTGGTCAGAACGTTTAGCAAGTGTGTGGCAAGTGAAAATAAAGGTTCTGTGTCGAGGTTCCAGAAATGAATCTCATTGCATTGACGTGAAGGATGTAAATATCTAGACCTTCGTTTGAGGCTGGAGGGCATATTGAGTATAGAGTAAATAGTGTTGCTTGTATGGTTAATGAATTTCATTGCTAACCAGTTGAGTAATTCTTGTTTCTTTGCCCAGTTACTAGGGCTGCTAAATAAGCCTGTATATAGTAACATTTCTATATTTCTGTAGAAACTTTACTATTATGCTATATTGTATCAATGGTTCTTCACTCGATTGATGGTATTGTCTCTGCGCTGTATTGATGGTATTGCCTCTGCTCTGTATTGATGGTATTGCTTCTATGTTGTAATAATGTAATGCTTCACGTCAATTGAAAAGAACACATTTCACCGTTACTGAAGAAACATAAAGCTTGCGGTGTTTGCAGGTTTCACTGCGAGTTGTGTAACTGCGCCCTGACGTGCGACCAGCAGCTACAGAGCCATCTTGCTGGGGCGCGCCACGCTAAGCTCCTCAAGAAGCAGGAGGCCTTGCTAAGTAAGGACTGTGTGCTCTTCTCAGTTTCACTTCCCTGCCCACACATGAAACTGAGTCTTGGCCATTTTAGCTTGATTTTAAATTTTTTCTATCATTTATCTCAGTGGTCAGTGGTTCCCAAAGTGGGTGTTACCGCCCCCCTGGGAGCATTAGAAACATTTGNATTGCAGCATACCAAATATCAAGAAAGAGGTGTTTGTTTCCATATGTGTCTGTGAGGGAGGCGCTAGGAATTCACTGGGGAGCCAAGGGGTTGCCAGCCTGCTATGGATAGCCTGGGAACCATTGGTCTATCTTTTCCATACTGTAATATGATTTTCGTCGAAAATAAATCAGTTACTGTTTCCGATTACTTGTGTCTCTTTAATGATATAATAGTTTTTATTTTCGTCACATTCTGTATCTGTGATAAATTTATGAAGGAATTGTCGCCACGAAGACGGCGTTTCGATTTGAAGACTGTGTAAATTGTTAGAAAATTGGCAAGTATCTGTTTGACCAACTCGATGTGTGAGACTTAACAATGTTTGTTAACTTCAATATCTGATTACCTGGCTAGGTTGTGGTGCGTTTGTTATGCAATCCTAGTTGCGGGCTTTTGTGCAAACGATGAGACCTGAATGCATATCAGTTACGAATAATTTCAATTGTTTGACTAGTTCATGTCCTGAGTAAAGAAGTTTTGGGGATGAGCATATTTTTATTTTGGTTCCAAGCGTTCTTCTCTTGACGACCGTTTGCAACTAATCAGTATCAAATTTAGGAAAGGAGAAAGCGATTAATCGTGTATTATAACTCATTTATTTGCTATCTTGATAAGCAAGCATGTGTCGTTTAGAACAGTCGATGGAAGTTACTGGGAACGTAGCCTTCCTCTTCAGAAAAGGTTATTAACGAGCATTTGTGGCTGCCAGAAGGGTTTCGATGTTGCACAAGATCAAGACGTAATGCGAGTCTGAATATTTTGCGTAGAAAAATCAAATAGTGTTCTTTAACTACCGATTTTATTGATGTTTCAGGAGAAACGGAAAAATCGGGAGAGGAGCCCGAGGCAGCGGCCGCGGCTAACCTTGGTGAGCAGCAAAAATAATTACAACTCGGTTTCCAAGTCGCCATTTTGGTGCAGTCTTCCTTGCAAATTATTTATTATATATCAATTCTTCAATATCTTCAATGGGAATTTCAATTTGTTTAATGATTAGAGTCTATTTTTAGTCGACTGTGTTCATAGGCTTGTAGTTGAGCTAGCGTATGTAATATGAATTATATTAGAATCTAGCAGTTTGTGTAGTCGAGATGGATGCTCCTAGGAAAAAACCTGCGTTATTATTTTTGGATGAAATTCACGCGTATCTGGTTAAAAATCCCATTATATTATTTAACTCACTCTGTTCTTCCTTTTTGCAATACCTTGATATTAATACGTGTATTATTACTTTAAAAGTTGACTAACTTAATTCACACGATTAAAATGTGTCTTTTTGCTAGCTACCGAGATCTCAGATCCTAGTGTTATCTATTTATGCAAACGAATCGTTATGACGCAGAGAGGTTGATATATTCTAAGCATCCATTTTAAAAACAATTTGTAGCTGCATTCGTACATGAGCAAATGATGTGACACAAAATTATCATATTACATATATTTTTTGCGTTAACGATTGCAATATTTTCGTCCAGCTCTGCGCTGTGAAGTCTGCAACGTTTCCTTCAACTCGATCCTGCAACGACAACAGCACATGGACTCTAAAAAGCATCGCGTCAAGGAATCCAAACTCGAGCGAAAACAAGAGGCGGAAGAAGAACAGAAAAAAGCTAAACAGAATAACCCAGAGAGTCGCCACTCTCTCGATATATCGTCCGAGCTTGTCACTTACAAGCACCTGAAAATATTACCTCAGATGTATGCCTCACCATTAACTGTTTTTAGCACAGATAACTACACGTCTCAAAATTCGAACTCATCCACTCCAGAAAGCTAACATTTGTCGAATGATAAATGCCCTGACTATCTATTTTTATTTATTTATAGTTCATTACTGTTAGCATTTGATGTGAATGACTGCCTTTTATTTGGTCGTTATAGTGTTGGTGGTCGTTATAGTGTTGGGTGTAATGTAGCGTGACAGAAATCTGGCATTTGCTGAAGACGATGCGCGACCAATGTTTTTGAGGTTCCTCAGTCACTGTTTTGTCGGGAAGCCCCTATCCAGCGTCGAGGCTTCCACCTTAGCGGACCTCGAATTCCGTAGAGGATGTCCTTTGCCGTGAAGGAACCGCCCCGTGCCGAGTGACAACAATGCAGGCGGGCGACGGTGGTAACGAAAGTTTGTTATAGTGACGTCAAGAAGCCTGCCATGTGTTATAGTAACGTCATGAAGCCTTTTCTGTCATGCTGACTCGTGTACGAGTTTGCTTCCTGGTCTCGCTGTTGTTCCACTCGAAACAATGTCTTTAACAGCGCTTCAAGTTGTTCACGTTGCCGTGGAGCCCATCTTGTGCTGCCAGTTTAGGTTTATAATGCCATCTGTCAAGTGTTGGGTATCATTATTAACTTTCCGTCATGTATCTCGCTCGTTGGTTTTTCATGTTCAACCTACGTTGTTGACAATTCACTACTATATTAATTGTCGAGTTGTTGTCCCAAAGCTCCGATGAATCTCATATTTTAACGGAAATTCCAGAACGTTCATTGTTAGCTTTTGAATCGTATCTCATAAGCCTTACGACTGAAAGTTTTTTACAGTTTGCACTGTGGCCAATACTTGAGTCTGCTGGCTGACCTGAAGAGTTAAGAGGCAAGAGTCCATTTCAATCCTCCTAAATTTCTACATTAGATTCCTAAAAGACGCTGAAGTGATGTGAAATTATTAGAAGGTTACCTTACCTTTCTCTTTTAACTTTATTGTGCATGTTAATCAAATTGTATTAGTGAAATTTATTGACATTTTTTGTTCATTTTACTGGACCGTGAATTTTACCCCTGCGCTTTGAGTTATTTTTTTTACCGAAAGCAACATTTTTACAGGTACAAATTTAAAGACCAAGTTTTCCGCTTGCTACATGTTCGTAGTTTCTTTTTACATCTGATATTGAATATTCAATCTTTTATCCTGCTCATTTGTTCCGGAAACAAACCTGGTTCGGCAAAAGTGGTACGTAATACATGTTTTGAATTTACCACGGCACCCCTAATCTTCATTCATTTTCATCCGCCATGAAAAGAGTTCCTAGAGCTGCTACATCATGAAATTGTGTGTCCTGCTAGTTAATAATTATTTCAATGCAGCTGCCGGCCGTGCTTACTCTTCATTGCCTAAAACTGCTTGTTCCGTGATGGTTTTGTCGAGAACAAGGCATTGGTGTCTCTGATGCGCCTCTGGATCCTTGCTATATTCTTTTGTGAAGTTTTCTGCGCCTCAATTAATGTTTAATTCAATAATCTGTCATGGATTATGTATAGTAACAGGAATTTTTGTGTTAATATAAATAAACATAAAACAGATCATCTTGTGAAACGAAACTCACTGTTTATTTCCCATGTTTCTGAATTTAAATACCGTGCAATCCTAGGTAATGTCAATAGCAATTAAAGTGCACAAGTTTGTATTATATATAATGCATTCATTTATACTTCTGTATTCAACGTGATAGCTTCGATTAGATATCACATGAAATCATTATGCCGCTGAGCTTTAATTGAATAAATCTTGTGCTAGGATTTTTAAATTCATTGTTATGAGAAATCACTGTCAATCCGATACGTGAAAACCTGTGCCTGCTAATTCTTACCTTTGCATTAGCATTTTTATGCCTTTCGTGACCGCTATTGAAAACGCTTATTCTTATCACGGAAAAATTTTATTTTATTATTTTTTTCTTTTCATCGTCCCGCAATTCAACTGTGGAGGCAAGTATGGGACACTCGCTCCACTCCTGCCATTGGTGATATCCAGCGTAAGGGTACGCACACAGTGGAAGCAGATTGCCAGCGTGCTGGTTACCTGCTCAGGCTGGCGCCTGAAACCATAGAATACAGAAGCCTATTCGTACAGGTTTTCACTGTGAACACTTACATTATTATCCTATGTTCATTCTTGTGGTAGGTTGGAGCAGGTTGCCCGCGCGGGCAACCTGCTTTCACTGTGTGGGTACCATAAGGAAGAGTGAGTACATAGAATACAGAAGCCTATTCGTACAGGTTTTCACTGTGAACACTTACATTATTATCCTATGTTCATTCTTGTGGCAGGATGGAGCAGGTTGCCCGCGCGGGCAAACCTGCTTTCACTGTGTGCGTACCCTACCGCGCGTGTGCATCTTCGCAGGCGCCTACATTTTAGGGGAACATCTCAGGGGAACTGATTGTTCCTAAGCTGATCATTATATTTCGTTGTTGATCAATTTAATTGTTTTGCAACGTCATTTCAGCAGACCATTGATGTCATCGTTATTGTAACGTCGCAACTGCTGTGAAAATGTTGTTAAATATTTTATGTAGAAAAATTTAGTCTTTTTAATTGCACTTGATTTGTTCTTAAAGTAGGTACGTAAAGTAGGTAAGAGTTTCTTTTGTAAAGCTGCCTCAGATATCTAATTTTTCGATATCGCCTGCCGCAAGCAATCATATTTCTGCTGAACATTTCGATTTGGTTAAGAACTCCTATCGACGTGTTACCTGTAAAGGACATAAAACGTTCATTTGTATTAACCTCATTGGATGATCTTTGACGAGGTATTTCTTCATGCTTACTGTGTAACTTCAACGTGTGTCGATTGTTGATGTAAATTTCACTTAATATATTAATACTGAACCTGTCTATCAATGTCAATAGCTTCCCACTTAAACTCCTTGTAATCTAAATCTAAAAAACGCATTCATTACCTAATTATTGGAAGTGGAGCAAGCGAGGTTTTGAGCGTAATGTTATGGATATCCATTGAGCAAAATAGGATTAGAGCTAAATAATGGTCCATTAAGCTTATTGCGGACCCTTTGTTCCTAATAATTCATGGTTTAAATAACACTACGAATTGCCCTCAGTACCTCGATGCTGTCCAGAAAGTATCAACTTTTAGGCGGTCCATGATTCAGTGACCGAATACTTCGCCGAAAAATTTCCGAGCTAAGTCTCTACCGCGACATGAGTAACCGGAGCAATATTGTCACAAGTCCACTTCCCAAAAAGGATCCGTTCTAATGAGCGCAAAATGACTTGCACTGATGGTTGCCGCCACGTACGACAAATTTATATGTTCTCTGTTGCGTACAAACGTCCTCAGGTTTCTGCACTCAATAGCTAACATATAATTCAAGTTTAAAGTTATGTTCCAGGAGAGTGACATACGGCGGTAGAGGGTTAAATTTGTTCCAAGTGCCTCAGTCGACAATTTAAGCACAGAAACGCCACACCGTTCGAACGGAGTTTAAATTTTTCAAAAAATTTGAATCCGACGACTGCCGTTGATACTGTGTCGACCACTATTGAGAAAAGAAAGTATCAACTCTTAGGCGGTCCATGATTCAGTGACCGAATACTTCGCCGAAAAATTTCCGAGCTAAGTTTCTACCGCGACATGAGTAACTGGACCAATATTGTCAAACCTACTTCCCAAAAAGGATACGTAATAGTGAGCGCAAATTGACTTGCACTGATGCTTGCCGCCACCTACAACTTTAAATGTTCTCTGTTGCGTACAAATGTCCTCAGGTTGCTGCAGTCAATAGTTTCGTATAATTCAAGTTGAAAGTTATGTTCTCGGAGAGTGACATACGGCGGTAGAGAGTTAAATTTGTTCCAAGTCCCTCAGTCGACAATTTAGGCACAGAAACGCCACACCGTTCAAGCGGGATTTAAAATTTTTAAAAAATTTGAATCCGACGACTGCCGTTGATACCGTGTCGACCACTATTGAGAACATGAGTCGCTGGCTCTGCTTCCATCCAATCTCATCTAACATTCAGGGCCATCAAACTGAGGAAGGTTTTGTTTTACATTTATTGTCTCATGAGTTTTATTCGAGTTTCCTGACAGTAGCGACGCAAGTTTGTCGAGTCAGCACATCGGGCGCCGGGAGAGCAAAAATATCTTCGGGTGAAATAAATCACGAGTTCAACGCGCGGCTTGACAGATGGCAGACGTGGTGTAGCTTTGCGATAAGATCTAGATTTGGCAAGCATAATTAGACCATAAAAAAGTATCGCGTAGATCTACGTGGAATACTCGCAAGAATCATGAATTGCCAGCTATAAAACTATACGTATTCGTCTCGATGAAATCGGTTTGTACGGTCAGAGCGCGGTGCTGGTGATTTTCTGTTCGTCATGAAATACCCAAAATGGGCTGTTATCCATAAATCTGTATTGCGAAGCAGAAACTTCGCTTTAGTCGCCTGCCTAGTGACTGCTGTGTTTAAGCGAGCAGAATAATATAACTATATAGAATCGGAAGGTTATGCCGTCTCTAAAAGAAGCGCGAGCTGTTGATTTAAAATTTGAGAGACGACAATATCAAACATTGTGCAGTAATATCTCGAAACATGCGAGTACTACGGACATGAGACACGGCCCTTTCTTGGGAACACCGTGTCTGCTGAAATAATTCATATGTACCAAACATTTTACTAGTTGTAGACAGAAAGACGGTAGATGAAAAGTGCACTTTTAGCAAGGCTTAAGACAAAGAATGACATGTACACCTGTAATTAGTAACTCTTAGGGAACTGATCATAACCTGCAAACTAACAAAGCTGAGATTTGTTACTTATGAGCGATAATTTTCTTGAGAATTGATGCCAATGATGCAGAAATTTCCCGAAAGAATTTTAGTTTGCTAGCTTGAAATCTGGTACAAGCGACGGCAATTCTATTTTAAAGTGGATCAGCGAAAGTACTAGTAGCACCCTACAGTAGAGTTTAGTGCAGTACAGTACAACAGTCAGGTACCTTATATTACAACGACTCGATCGTTTGCGTCTAAGATGAGGTCAAGTCAGGTCCGTCGCTGATTCTTGCAATGACGTTTTTACCAGCGCCATCTAAATTGACTTTGATGAAGTTTTCCATGTTAGTTAATGAAATCTGATGTGAGGACAAGATTACTAATTGCTTGACTGTTAAGGACCTCCGATGAGCGAGCTGTTGAATGAGAACGTTTCCCGAATTTACTTCATTTAATTCAGAAACGCGCACGAAGCAAAAGTTGAGAAATCTGTGGTCTTATCAAGTCGCATAGGATCAAGTCCCATCAAGTCGGATGGAGAGGATATAATTTTCTCCGTCACTTGATGGTTTATTTCCTGTGGCAAGTCATCAACGCGCTACCTGAGTTGTACGGACGTAGATTCAGAATGTCGACGCAGTTCTGATCGAGAATAAGATGAGAAGCCTGCATCGAGCAAGCTTTACGAGCATCTCTCCCATGTTCGAAACTTCAGCTTCACGATAGAGATGACAAGCGACCATGATTCCGTCGCCTTACTTTTATGCTGAAGCAGACAGAATACCAGCTTCATGGTCAACATGGACCATTCTAGCCAGACTACCTCATTTTTCAAGTATTTTAATCCGATCCATTGTAGAAAAAAACACGTTACATGTGCACTTCTTGGATATCTGAAATGTTACTGGGAAGCTAGGTGACTCAACTAGAAGTTAAGTTCCAAAGCAGCATGATTAGTGTGGTGCACGCTGTTGCACCCCCCATAACCTCAATAAAAAATGCCAGAATTCTTCGGGGATCATGAAAGAAATAAAGGAATCACTGTTCTAAACTGGGATTATAAGCCACAAGAAAATTTTTTCGAACTTCATTTGTGGTTTGAATGACGAGGAACTATCAGATTCTAATTCACCTGGTCTCCCTGTTCTTGATGCTTATAGTGAATTATTGATGCTAGGAGCAGACTGGCGTGCCTTCATGTATTGGACTTGACGTTCGTATTTAATCAATGCCAAATAGTTTTCAAACAGTGCATCCTGTAAATATTGGCGACCCCACAGAGATGATTTTCGCAATCTAATTCGCACGACGCAACTAGAACTCGTTACATGGTATTGTTATCTACTGAATATTTATTTAAAACTGTGGGGCTGAATGAGCTCGTGCATCGGCTTTTGAAGCCAGAAACTGTTCCTTCGCTCGCCAGTCGCTACATTGCTCGTGTTGACGTCGCATTTTATTTCGACTGTAATTCTTCGAGCTCGCCACCCCTGCACAAAAGCAGGATCGTGCCGCTGTTTTAACGCGTAACTTCTTTTACGACGCGACTCTAATTTGACCCTCAGACGGCAATGGCTAAAAACTCGCCTGGGCTTTGAATAATGGCCGAGAATTGCAGGCTCAGCCGATGCGGCGACTTGGCCAATTTCCGTGCTCAAAGGCAACTAAATATTCATTTCTTTGCAATCTAAATGTAATTTATTCCCTATTTTTTTAGGTAATAATTCTAGATCGTAAAATTAGCGGTGCTCGTGGATTCTCAAGGCTTCCTGCAAATTTTCCAATAAAAAAAGAGTAAATTTAAACAAACAGCAGCGAGTGAAATTTTCTAAGTCATTTTTTAGACGCAAATTAAGATATTAGCTAGAAAATTTCAGCTCTAATCACCTGCTTGATCTAGGGAGTTTAAAGAGCTGTTACCTTCGTTTCCTATCTTTATTTTATAACCAATAACTAAAGAGCAGATCTCGATATGGCTCCTGAAGAAACACGTAGCACGTGACCACCTGATATTACGACAGTTGATAGGAAGGAATTGTAGGATTGAAGTCTTGAAGTAGAAATGAAGATTATCTTCGACCAATTTTCTCGGGCTCTTGAAATGATGGTGTGCAGTCATATTCCACATAAGAATGTCACTTATGTAGTAGATTTTATCTTCTGGTGTGCTGTTCATGAAACCCAAATTACAAATTCCATAGGATGAATTGTTTGGAAATAACATCTCGGTATTCAGTTCCTGCTAAATATATTATAATCCCAATCGTATATTTGTACCCGA